ACACGTTTCCTGCTTAACTTCGAAGAATTTGGTTCTTGGTCCAAACACCCTCACATCCGTCGATGTACTGGTCTCGATCAAGATCCCTTACTCCAAATCACCTCCATCGCTGCAGTTGAAGACGTTTTTATAGCCCCTGTGATGCAGGAGCATGTAAATTTTTGCAATCGTTCTAGGTTCTTTCCAGCTGTTCTAAGGACTACTCTTTCCCTTAACGGTATATCCATGGTTTTTCTCGGTACTATCATCATGGTATACATACAAAACTTGACAGACGGGTCCTGCAAACCATAAGCTTCCGAGTAGTTCTAGCATATACAACTTCCTTGTGACTTCGTCAAAGAAGCTTGGAATCAAATACCACTATGTAACAGTAATTATATATAATAATTACTTAATATAATTACATAATTAATATAATAATTATATATAAAATTTGTTAAATTATTAAGTACGAGTACTTCCAAATTAACATGGCAAATGATTGTTAATATTCGCGCGGCAATAGCGTTTGAATTCGAATTTTATAAGCAAAAGGAACATCACAGTTATTAGACTGCGATTAACGTAGGCCATATTCGCTCTTCATTCTACATTACACTGCGAACACTGCGAACGAAATTTTATCACACATGGTCATTATTGGTTTTGATGCTAGATTGCTAAAACAGGTACTATTTCACGACTATAACTTAATTTTATTACCAGGATTGGTGAAGGAAATTTCATTTTTTTTTTTTTCCTTTCAAACTTCTGTTGAGGAGCATTAAACCTCTCCATCTGTCTCTATTTTGGGTGATAGATCTTATGTGTGCCCAAGTCTTGCCTGCAGCTGTTATTTCTTTTTCTATTGTTCTTCGCCATGTATTATTAGGCCTGCCGATGTTTTTCCTACCCTGGGGACTCCATTCCAATGCCTGCTTTGTTATGGATTGTTCTGACCTCATAAGTATGTGACCTACCCATCTATATTTTTAGCACTTTTCCAAAAAATTTTTGAAAAAAAAGTGCTTATTAGTTTCACTCTGTCCGTCCGTCCGTCCGTCCGTCCGTCCGTCCGTCCGTCCGTCCGTGTGTCTGTTTACAAAACTTCTACACCCTTGAAGATAGAAAGCTGAAATTTTGTACGTACATAGATTTTTACTAGAAACTTATTTTCGTGGAACAAAATTTTTACCTATCTCCCCCCCTTTAGAAGTTATACCCCCCCAAAACCCTAAAAATGCCATTCTTTAACTATTTAGTGCAATGAAACCATAAGGATTTTTCAAATTTTGCAAACGCAGAAAGGCAGTGGCTTACTTCCCCTAGCGGGGTATACTAAAGGTTAACTTTAGAAAAACAAAATGGCCGCTCAAATTTACCGTTATCTAAAGTCCGTTTTTTCCAAATTTTTGATGTCGTTTATTTTCTAGACCCCAGCCTGTAGAAGCTTGAAATTATGGGCTTTTAGACATTAACAAATAGTTCATTTCGTTAGAAGAAAATTTTTTTCCATCTCCTTCCCCTCTCAAGTTATGGCCTCTTGAAATTTGTAAAATTTGAATTTTTGACACCTTATATTTCCGAAACCGCAAGCTTTTTCAAATTTCTATAAACATAAAAAGCTAACGGTAAATTCCATGAAATTAAAAAATATAATTATTTTTCTTAACTCACATAATTAAACCTTAAAATCGAGCATTATGTTAACCCCTTTTTATATTAATTTTTGCTTTATTTCAAACACTGCATATATGCGTCATCCTAAATATATGCAATTCTAGAAATAGTTTTGTATATGAATGAAAATAATTTTAATAGTTTGATAGGTATACATAGACTGTATTTAAAAGCAGAATTTTCACTTGCTGAAGGGAAAAGTGCTACAATACAAACCATTGGTTTGACCCAACTTTATTTCTTTCTTATTTGGTTTTCTATCGGATCCTGTTTGCATAGGTCCTATAGGTCGCTGTTTCTTAGTCTGTTGGGCCAGAATATTCGGCATATGATGCGGAGGCATTTATTTGTGAAGACCTGCATTTTATTAATTCAAGAAAAATAAATTCTTTTCATATTTGCTTAAATATCTCATATTTGCAAAATAAGTAGCTCTTTGTAAAAGATTTTTAACTGACGTGTTACAGCGTTAAAGTACAAAGTATGCAAAATTCTCTTTTCAGTTATCTACTATAATTCTAAATACCTATAGGTACCCTTTATACATTAAGCTATTTATATTAATGCAAAATGTTAACCAAAAAAAAATTATAACCGTAATAAAAAATTGCATTTACTTACAATAATTAAGGAAATGTGGGTTTTAAATACTGAGTGAGTTACTGAGAATAAAAATAACCATTCAAGTGGGAGGTTTTCTCCCACTATATTTTTATACATGTATTACGTATAAAGTGATGACGTTGTGGTAGATATTAAATATTATAATGGATTATTTCTGAAATTAAAATTGTGTTGATGCACATACTTAGTATGTATCTTAATCTATACTAATAAGAAGATAAAAATTGGTCCTTACAATTATAGTATGTAAATTGTTTTTCAGATTTATAATTTTATGAAGAATTCCAGTATATGGTAAATTTAATAGGATTTATTAGGTGTGTGATAAAATGAATATGATTTCAACATTTAGTTTGAATTGAATGACGTTTTTAAAATTACAAGTATGTAATGGAAGTTATTAAAAAAATTGTAGTTTTCTTTTGAAAATCAAAATGTAATTATATCCACAAACCAATTAAATTGGGTGGGCGAAACAAATGCGTACTGTTTGGGTTAAAGTCGCGTCGCTAAGTACGAATTTGAGAAGTGTACGCATAGAAGTTACTAAACTTGTCGACATTTAAGCCAAGAAACAGATTGAAACTTTAAAGCTAACATTTACGGAATTTTTCCATATATTGTTCGAAAAGAATGAAAAGAAATTTTTCATGCTGACAGTGTAAAAGGAGGAAATGATCGAGGATCTGAAAAATTTTTGAATCAATAACCCAACATGCTTTTGCGAAAGGAAAGAAATATTCTAAGAAGAATTTGAATATTGATGAATCAGAGCCGAATTTTTACGATTGGAACTACTTGGAGAATACACAAAAAATAAGGCGAGTGTGGGGAGTCTCAGTACAATTTCAATGAATAGTTCTTGAGAGTGTGTTAGAGTTATATCTTGCATTTAAAATCAAAATTTTAAACAAAAAATGGACCACATTAATTCTTTCGTTTTAAATTTTCGAATATTATTTTCTACTTAAAATTAAAGTTAAATAAATTTAAATATTCATTAAAATAAAAAAAAATCGCCATATTAAATTTCTGAAAATATTTAAAATTTGCTTTATAGTCTTAAATAACTTGTAAAAATTTTATGGAAAAACTTATTTTATATTTTCCATTTTGTTTATCGTGTTAAATTGTGTGCAGAAATTCTTTAGCTTTAATATTTATTTTTCATATCACAGGGCATTTTCATCTTTACCATCGTCTATATATATACATAATAAGATGGAATTTTGAAAGTAGCCTTAAGTTATTTAACATAATTAAAAAGATATAAAATAATTAGTTTTCCTAAGTACCAGAAGATATTTGATTCCATAATATACTTTGGATTTATGGTGTGTTATGACAAGTACAAGGCGTTATATAAGTATTATAACTGTACATTATATTGTTATAGTATATGATAATTTAGCTTTATTTTTCTCATAAACCATTATTTGCTTTTTAAAAAAATAATATAGGCCAGTGCACTAAGGGCAATGAAATTTGTTTTAATGAATAACTTTCGTTATATTTTCTTTTTTTAATATAAGCAACTTAAAGCTCTGCACTAAATTAAACAATTTGGCTATATGACCGAAAAAGTTACCATTTTAACATAATGATCTTGAACACTTTGTATTAAGAAGCTTTAATGCTAAGAATTTATAAGACTATATAAAATTTTTCATTTTAAAATTGAAATTTCTGGTGCCAATAGGACCATAAACAGCATTGCATTTATTTTCTATTTTTCATTAATGAGAGCACTTGAAAAATATTCTTTTAATAAAAAATTGGTTTACTTTATATTTTCCAATATTTTTTTTCCCCACTAATCACGTACATGAACTACTTTCTAAGAAAAATAAAATTGAAATTTTTTTAAATTATTTTATGTATAAGTGTGTATTTCTAGGGAGTACTAATTTATTGACATAAATGTGATAAACCATAAAAAATTGTGAAAGTATAAGAGAAACGTTTTTGATTTTTTCTATTCAATAAGTCTTATCTCTTAAACCTAAACCTCGAGGACATTATTTATAATAGATTTTTAAGAGAAAGTGAAAAGAAAAACAAATATAACTATAATATTTTCCAATTTCTATTTGCAATTTTAGAAAAAAATAATAAAATTTTATTCGATATACTATACAAATGTTCATACTCATGCATGAATTCCGCAAGGAAAAGATTAAGAAAAATATTATTTAAAAATTTTTATCGCCTTCGAAAATTTTTATTGCTAAGATCTTCAAGTACTTACAAAATATATTTTGTTGCAAAAATGTTGCTGCATTAATTAAGGTTGTCATGACTTTTATGTACTTTAACACTTACACATATTATATAATTACCAATATAAAGTTTTAAGCACGTGCGGTTAAATCGGAAATATCATGAAATAAGAATGTAATCGATTCTAAAGAAAATTTTCTACAGTAGTTTGCGATTTAAAATGGGAAATCGCTGGAAGAAAAAAGGAAAGATGCTCATCTATAAGAATTTTTACATATAAGAAAATGAACTATAATGAATGTGAGGTATATATGGTGTGATTTTTATGTGGGTTTTATAGAAGGTGAAATAATATAGATTGTAAAATATTTCAATACTTGAAAAGACGTCTGAAATCTGTAAGAAAAATTTCTTATTCACTAATATTTAGCTTCTAGTTTAAAATAAAAAACTCATAAAATCTTAATTATTAATTAATTTTTTTTTTGTTTCAGGTTTCAACTGTAGCTTGCCAACTGTAGATTTGTTAATCATCCGATTATAATATTTCATAATAACTTAGATACAACAAAATTTTTAACATGTTAAAATAAACAAAAGAAAAAGCTTCAGAGATCCATCAAAAATTTGAATTAAAAGCAATTTGATAATGAAATGGATTTGCTTGGATCCTCAAAACAAGGATCAAATGCGACAAAATCGAATTTACCTACAACAAAAACACAATATTTTACAACAGAAACAACATCAACTACAGGATTACATTCAGTCACAACTAGCACAGACGCATTATTTAAAATTAATCCCGAATCAAATTCTTCAACAAAATCCATTTTACGTTCTTCAAAATTTATTAATAAGTACCTGTGTTCTGTGGATCCAGCTTCGACAAAATCTAATATTCAATCAAATTTTCATTTATCTGAACCTGAAATATTTTGTAGTTTTCCATACACTGAAAATAATCTTGAAAATGATTTTTCAAATATTAATGATGATTCCTTTACACCGTTTAAGATTAATAACATTACAAAAAGTTTTACAATACCAACATCATCATTATCACCATCACCATCATCGGCATCATCATTATCTCCTTCAACAGTTGAAAATTCTATTAATAATTTAGTTAATAATCAAACAGATAACAATAATGTGTTATATAGTATGTATAAATGTAGTTTAAATTTTTATGATTCTATATCGGAACAAGCAAATTATTATTGTGAACAAATTACAAATAATTTTAATGATTCAAATGATGATATTGATAATGAATATAATATTAATCAATGCACAATATCATCAACAATAAATAATAATTTAATATTGAATAATACAAAATTAATTATTAATAATATTTTGAATCCAATAGAGAAATTTAATTTGAATTTACCAAATCATAATAATTTATTAAATTTATTTAATAATTTAACTAGTAGTGATAATATTAATTTTAATAATAATATTAAAAATGTCTGTGATTTATGGCAAAGAAAAATATATTGTCCTAATTTAAATCAACCGAATCGATCATTTTTCGAACAAATCTTAAGTCCGATATACGGAAATAATCAAAAAGATCAAGAAAATCATATAACAACAACAACAACAACAATTTCATCAAAACCATTAACAATATTTAATATAATTAGTAATACAATTTATAATAGTACAATAATTAATAGTAATACTGATAAAAATAGTTATGATAATAGTAATAGTAATAGTAATAATTATATAAGTAATTTATCTCAGAATGATAGTGATAATAAAAGTATATTTGAGCCAATTGAATGTTTATTTAGTTTAGAAAATTTAAAAAATGATGTGATAAATAATACTAATATAAATGATAATTATAATGTTAATACAAATTTTTTATGGGATATTGTTAGTTCATTGGTAACACAAGGAACAACATTATTAAATGACACCGTAATTAATATAGGAATAAATAATGGAACAATTTCTGAATTATCTGGATTAAGTGATGAATTTAGTACAAATTATAATGGAACATTATTTTATAAAAATAATAGTGAATATTTAAATGATAGTTATAATAATAATATTAATTTAATAAATAGAATAATATCAACAACAAGAATATTGCCAACAACAACAACAACAGCAGTAACAGCATCTACCACAATTAGAAGTGATTTTATAAGTGGTTGGGGTGCTGGTGCTGCTAGTCATATGGGTAGAGGTGGTTATGATTGGGTTTTTCTATTTGTGATAATTTTTATATTTGCTGGTGGTCTTGGCAATATACTCGTCTGTTTAGCTGTGGCATTAGATCGTAAATTACAAAATGTTACAAATTATTTTTTATTTTCATTAGCAATTGCAGATTTATTAGTTAGTTTATTTGTAATGCCACTTGGTGCAATACCTGGATTTCTAGGTAAGTTTCAAAATATAAAAAAAATTTATACATATTTTTTTGAAAATAAATAATAAAAATAATTTAAATTTAATGAAAACTTCAAGCATTTTAAAATTGTATCCTTAATATTTGCGTTATCTTAATCATTACAAGTAAAAACGTAACAGTTCCAAGAACACCTATTAGTATTTATTTTAAAAATATTTTACCTCAATTCAGTCTATACTATTTATATATAAGACTATTTCTATGTATAAATACAAAAATACATTCAAAGAAAATGAAAAAAAAAAATTTTTTTTTGCATCACTTTAATAAACTGGCAAAAATTTATTAAGAATAGCCTTATTATTCCCCCCGGGTGCTGTGTTCCATTTAAAATATAATATTTTTAATATAATATTGCCTCTTCCTCATATTATATATGTAACTGGTATGAATTTGCCTTACACAACAATAGCCTCATATCTCGGGAAACAAGAATGTTAAAAAAAGCTCTATTCAATTATAAGATGTTTAATTAAATTCAGTGCATGTCCTCAAATAATTTGTTTTACTTTGCACGCCAAATGTTTTAGTTATTTTTATGTATTTATTTCTTTAAGAGCAATATAAAAATAAAATAACAAAAGTTTTTTATATTCGTGCGGTAGGACGGTATTGTAAATTACTCTCTCCATTTCTAAGTTTAAGAAATAAAGATTCGGAATAATTACGAATGAGCTGTGAGTCTGATTTGTTTAATTCTGCCTGTCTTTTCCAGCTAACTTTTAAATTGATGCTAAATTTCAAAAGTTAAAATTTTATGTAAAATATTAAATGACCGAAATCTCTTTAATTTGATGGCGATTCAGGTCATCGTTCGAATAGCTGCTGCTTCACATAGAAAACTTTTTTATCATTTATCATGATGTGAGGTGTGGGCAATATAATTTAATTGCATATCTCAGCCAAAATTTCCCTAGTGCATGCGGTTAGATGAATTTATAGTTAAGGATATAGTCACATTAAAATTTGAGGTCTATAATATACTTTCTTGGGATTTCCTTTACTTTGATATTAATTACTGTTACAAACGGCAATAAAACAACAATTTGGAATAAATATTTTCCCATATAAGACGTAATAGAACTAAAATAATATTTTCATAATTATATACATAAAATTTTGTAGACATTGCACACGTATTATCACTTTATTTTTTTTTTTTTTGTAGAAAAAAGTATAATGCGGTTATAAGTACACCATTGGTAAATTTTATATGCGTATACCATTTGTAATTCTCTAATGCAATAAGTTTTTATAAGATGACTTTTCTAGAAAAATGTTGTTATGAAAATTTATTCATTTAGGAAAAATAAAATCCTAAAAATAGAATATGCCTTCTACTACTAAAATGTACAAAAAATTAAAAGAATCAAACGAAGAAAAATTGGTGTCTTGTGTATGCAAACGAGTAAAAATATAATATTAGACAATATAATGACTGAAATTAGAAGAAAAAGAAAGAAAGAAAGAAAGAGAAAAAGATGATTACAGGAAAAAAATTTTAATAAATTATCCTTGAAAATTTTCTCTAAATTTTTTTTTAATTGTCCCTGCATAGGCATATATTATACGGTTCTAAACCATATATAAAATTATTTAAGACTCACTAAATTTAATTTCTTTTCTCATTCAAAATACTTGAAGCTTTAAAAATATGTATATGTATATGTAAGAGTACAGTTTGCTTATGTATGATAAAAAAAAAAATTTTAATTTTGAAAATGTTTTGGAATTATTTTTCGCATACATTAAATAGACATCTAGTGTAAAAAATTCTTTGTTAATAAAAATTAAGATGCGAAAATTCAACTTATATAGTGTAATGAAGGTTGTAAAGGACTTTTATTTCTTATGTTTTTCAAAACTAATTTTGATAACAATTAACAGACATATTTTGACTCTTGTTTCTACCTTAACGCTTAGCCTATAATTGTTTTTATCCTCTCTTGAAATTTTCTACAAAATGTCGTGTAAGTATATTATAATTTTGAATAATTTACTTTGCTATAAGACACATAATTTCATTTTTAAATTTTGAATAAAATTATGAATATTCAAGGTAACATGTTCCTCTATGTTCCAATCGACAAACAACTCTGTTTCTATAAAAAATGTATAAATAAAGAAAAAGAATAATGATTTTCTCATACATTTTCCTATATCTATGTATATTCTTTATACTTTGCTTTTATTATCGTATTACGGGAATATAGTAAATAGGAAATGCGTATTTTTTTAATCATTATACAAGGACAATATTAGACTATACGGAATTATTTTTTATATACCATAAAAAGTATATATACAAAATAAAAACCATGTCAACAACTTAATTGTTTTAGTTTATGATTTTAATCATGTGTAAAATGAATGAAATATAGAACGAATTTAAAAATTTAGAAACTGTATGAAAAGAAAAATATGTTTTTCTGATACTATCATTGAGTACTTTTGAGATATAGACAAAAATACACGTAATTTAAAAAAAATATTCAAAGCTTTCAAGGTTTTTTTCGTTACAATATGTAAACAATGTCATTTCAAATTTGTATTATAAAAGAATTACTGAAGTAGAAACTATATACTCTCAGTTTTGAAAATTATTCTGAAATTTTAAAAAGTTAAAAATTTTTCACATGTTATAAAATGAATTGGTTTTGTAAAGTAGCAAATTTTTACGTTAAAAACACTTTAAAATGAAATTTTTACGTTAAAAACACTTTTTGTTAATGCCATTCCAATGATATTATTATCATAAAATTGCATATCTTTAGGATTAGGACGCATTGACGAGATATCTAAAATTTGAGAGGAAAGAAATATTGAAGAAAAATTGTTTAACCCTTTCGACTCAACTTTTGAATAGTGTAATCAGCACATGTTACACATGTAGGGTTTATTACCTGTTAGGCGTTAAAATTTATTGTGCTGCATCATGTAAAAACGAAATGGTACAATAGAGATCCGAATACAATGCCATTTTTAACTTTTAGGCATGTTTTGTATTTTACTGGTACATATGTCTGTGTACAAGCCGGGTCGAAAGGGTTAAGCTACAAAATTTTTCTATTTTCTACTATTTTTCAATGTTTACAAGCTGTTTAAATTTTAAACTTTTACAATTAACCACATCAAAGGAAAATAATTTCAGTTGAAAAAGGGAAAGGGAAATTAATTTAAGAAAACCGCCAATTTGAGTGGCTCAATTTTGTGATAGTGAAGTGAAGTCAGGCCTTAGTAACTGAATATCATATTTTTACGATCAAAATATTAAAATCAATTGCAGTCGGTTGTGTACTTTCCACACCAAATTTTTTTTTCTTGTGACTTACATTTTAAGTGTAGTGCTAATCAAAAATTCGAAGAAATTTTATTACCCGCCTAATATTACGTAATCCTAATGAAATTATTAATTTAAGTTTTGAATTAATTTATTAACTTAATGTATCAAAGAATTAAAGTAACTTAAATATTTTGAATTCTATAATATTTACTCTTATAAAAAAAAATAATATCTAACATTTCATATTTTTTATTTAAAAGAAAGCAAATGTTTAATTTATTTGACAAATATTTGACATCGTAACTCATAAATCTAATAAAATATTAAAAGTAAACTGGAAATTTTTCTTATAGATTTTTCATTTGTGTATATATGTATGTACATATAATATTACCCTTATCTATATTTTTTTTAAAATATTTATGTAGTATTCATGTTTGCTTTCCTTGTCGAAATACTAATCTGTTAACCCTGAAAGACATTTTTGTAAACAAATCCTTTTGTCAAATTTAATATTTTTATTGAAATTTTTTCTTCTATACCTAATTTTTTTTGGTGCTATGCAAAAAGTCCATATTGAAATTAATTTTATGTATAGTGCAATCTGGTATAGAATGGCGGAAATTTTTTTACAGATTCAAAATATTAGAATTGTTGACATTCTGTGTAATATTGTGTAAAAGGTTTAGAATTAAGAAATTTGTGCTTGCAATGTTAATATTAAAAAAAAATATTTTTTCTTACCAGTTAAAGATGTCAATGTCAAAATAGTTTTCTCATTAATTGCATACAATTCTGCTTTAAATTCGGATTAATTAATAATTTTACAGATTTAAAAGAAAATTAAAAACAAAATTCATAATTTATTTTCTAATCCAATTTCAACCTAACCAAATATGACATTATAACATTTTGCACCATTTAAAGCGAATTTCTTAAATTTTCATTTGGTTTTACCGACACCGCATTGCATACCATAAGGGCGGTTATGTGATCGCTTCCAATTTTGCAAATCGAGTTTTCTGTATGATAGAGCAGGTTAAATAAACTATTTTTATAGAGATGTCGGTCTGTCCCATAAAGTTTTGGAAAGCCATAATAATAATAATAAACTTATAAATTTTTTGGAAAGAGTAGGAGTCGGAAATTGAACTAAGGGCGGATCTTACCTTTTGTATCATGTCCACTGAATTAACTGTTGGAATTTAATATTTGAGTTCTGATTGTTACCGAAACTAACTGGCGAACTTTTCAGGGAATGCGGATGGCATAAAGCGAAACTAAGTCTACTAAGAGCCAAATTTACATTTTTCGAGGAATGCTATAACAAAAACCTTACTAGTATCCCTAAAATTGTAAAGAAATGTTTAAAACGCATTATCATAATCTTCTGCAACATTTGCACTTAACTAGACAATATACATTGCGATCGGTTATGTGATGACCACATCAGATTCTTTTATTTGTCAAAAACAAAATTTTGTATATATAGATAAAAAAAAAAATTTTCATTACTATAACACTAAAATCCTTTTTGATTCATCTTCATTTTATTTGTCTCTCATGTTTTTTTTCAAGTTGACATTCATCTTGACCAATATACAAAATTTAACATATTGGATGACCATACAACAATGACATGCTATTCAAACATTAATTCTATGAATATTATTTGTTGATGAGATGTACAAGTGTCTATGAATTAAAAATAAAAACAAATTGTTGTTTTTATCATACATTTTCTTTCCCTTTAACGTACAAAAAAAGGATATATTTTTTTTTTTGAATATTAAAAAGATTATATAATAATATAGAAGTTGATAAAAATATAAGAAATGGGTGTACATAAGCAATAATGTAAATAAAATAATAGAATGACCGGGTCATTGTTATGTTTGTATACATTTAATTTAATGTGTTTTGTATATTAATATGTGTGTGTATGTGATGGGCAGTAAGCTCACATTAAATTGTACATTGAATAAAATATCAAATTTAATAAGATCACTTTATTTTTTTACAAACGTAAGAGACAACAAAACTGGTTAAAGCTAAATACTTTATTAATATCAGACAAATTAAATTATGTATGTTATTATGGTCTACAATAAATAATTGAGAACATATTCGTATATTGAAAGTGAAAGAAGTTAAGTAATATTTCTAAAATAAGAATGAGTTCAGTGACATTTCTGTCAAAAATCTCATTTTCATAATCAATCTGTGTTATGTTTAGAACGCATTTACATACTTGACACAAATTCAATTCATTCCACGATATCTTCTTCATTATGGCATTAAAAGCCGCTTTCTTGAATATATAAAACTGTGAAGCAATAAAATTTCAAAACATTTCGGCCGAAAAATTTAAAATATCACTTAGTTTCTTTACTTATAAGCCTTATAAAAATTTGGACCATAGCAAAATAATTTTATGTTAAGATTGCTTGAACTGTACTGTGAGAACAAATTTAAAAACATTTTGATAATTTCAAAAATAAAGTGTTTACATTTAAATTTAATTTGTATTTGAATGTGAATGTGATTTTATTTATAAATGATTTGATTATAAGAGTATGTTATATGCTATACATATTATATGTATGTGCTTTGCATAAGCATATACCACTACAGTAAAAATTTGAAGATATTGTAGAAAAAAAAAAGAAAAATTTGAAAGCTTTTTTAAATAAATTGAACTAAAATGTCAAGTAGAATGACAAGACTTCCTTTCAGCAACATAACAAAATCGTATGATTTTGACAAATTGTTTAAGTTGTTGTAAAATTTTAAATTCATTAATTCAGCATAACAAATAAACAATTCGAGAAGCAAAGCAATACGCCTCATTTCTAAAAAGATTGTGTTCGAACTTGTGTATTTCGAAGAACAGTCATGCAATACAAGTTTGATAGGCAATTCAATACAAGTTTGATAAGCTTCATATTTTGTTAAAATGATGACTAGTACACAACGTTAGCGAAACCTAAAAAATTTTATATGGTATGAGCCTGGATTAAAAAATTTTTAAGATTCAAGAAATAAATTTTCATAATATTAAGTAATGTTTGTAAGAAACAAAATTGTATTGCCTAAAACAAACTTGTATTCAAACTTATGAGCAGTGGAAACAAACCGTTTGAGTAAGAAAAACTACAAAAGTTTGAAAAAGACAAATTCATTTCGTTTCCTATATTAAAAATTTCCTATATAATTTTTCTATATTGAACATAAAATCTCTTCCGTGTGAGTTTATAAAAAAAAAATGTTTGCATAAAAAAACTTTCCTGACACATAACTCTATATAGTGAATAGTCTTTTATGATCAAATTGTTCATTATAAAACCAAAATTCTGTACAAAAAGGACTACAAATTTTTCATTTTCTTATTTGAAATTTTTAAGGATATTAAAATTTATTCTTCTGAAAAGATTTCTCTTCTTTTTTTTAGGTGAAAAATTTATCAAAAAAAAAACAAAATATTTAAATGAATTTTCGGGTGCTTGACATTTTTCATTTAAAAAACTCTGTTTTTTTTGTATTAAGGTACAGATAGGTACACATTTAATATGTTGTGTGTGTGTGTGTGTTGAGTTTAACCGAGAAAATCTGTATTTTCAGAAAAGTTTTATTTAATTTTATTTTACAAATTATGTAAATATTTAATTAACACTGTAATAGATTAAAAAATGAGAAAAGCAAAAGAAAAGGGTAAAAAAAAATTTAATTGTTTAACAATGTCCTTGCCTTCCACTTTATAAGTAAATCACATTAGATATTATAAAATATGCATGCCTTTCTATTATTTCCTATTTATTAGTGGTTTTTATAAATGGACATCACTTGTTCTTCATATTATATATAGAACATTAAAATAATCCTAAATTTGGTTAAAGATAAAAAAATTTTTAAAAATCTTTTGCGGTTTTTTCATAGAAAAGTTTTCCATTTGGGTTTTTATTACATTTAATCAGTTAAAGCAATGATTTGCCAAGTAGCACTTTTTACTATAACAATTTGAGTAAAAAATCTAACCGACTCAATGCTACTCGTATTAATGTAATGAATATTGTAAAAAGTCGAACAAACTTGTCAGGCATATTCAAGATGGGGACGAACCAGAGACAAATATAGGAATTTCAAAATATAGGGGTCATTAAACTCCCTTGACCAGCTTGAGCTCAAAAATTTTTTGAAAGTAGTTGCAACTTGAAGTTTGTTGGATTGGGACAAAATTTTCTTGTGGACAAATGCTTCAGTTTTCTATCTCGAATTTTTGTTAGAGGACGGTCAGACGGATGTTTGTCCACATAAGATGGATTTTTCATATGTATTTTAAAATTATGCTATGCAAAATAACCCAACAAAAACTTATTTGATTAAGTTTTTAAAAGTACAAATGAAGAAATGTTAAAATAATTTGTCACAGTCCAATAAAATTTAATTAAATCTATTTTAAATGCTCATTTTTCATATATGGTTTTATTTCTGAGAACTCATTTAAAAATTTCATTTTTCTTATCTTTTACGACTCAAATATTGTATGTATGTAATACCATTTGAAATTGTTTTTAAAATATTCAGGAGCAAAGTAAATTCATTCGACAAGTGTTATTTTTGAAAAAAGATTACCTTTATTCACACTCTTCTTCTAGAATCATCCGTTCGCTCCTTGCTTGCTCTTAATGTAAAATCAGAAAGAGGCATCAGAACAGAAGAGGCAAGAGTAATCGTATTAAATAATTAGGTATGTTAAAATAAATAGTTACATTTCTATTATAGAAACTGTTGCCGTTAGATCCTTGCTTTTATGGAAATTGGAAATAGCTCAGTTTCAAAGAAAAAACTTAGCGAAAATTTAAATTTTGCTAATTGCTGAGATTACTTCGTCCGTTCAAATAGGTGGGATGATATAATTAAAGGTTCAACAACGATTGGAAAACGCGATTATGATGGTAATATTGAAAATTTCTTAAGAAGAAAAGGCTCACTTAGTTTCTTTTTTTAATACAAGTATTAAAAATCAACGAGAAACAAAGGTAAGCGAACTCGGCTTTCATATAACTTAACCAAAAATAGTCGAGGACTTTAAATCAACCTAAAACGCGCCCGAGTAATCACATCTTCTTAAAGCTGTAGACAAACTGACTGGCTATTAGTTTTGCTCTATCTTGTTTATTTTTTTTTATTCCGTGAAAGAAGTCATGGAAAAGCTGTCTCAGTACTTTAGGCTGAATTCACAGTTCTTTCTGCCCTAACATAATCCTCAAGAGTCGAGAGACCTGAATATTTAGTAATGATGTACTTCCCTACGCTTCATGAGACAAGTCCTTATTTATGTGAAAATACATACTTTAGTATTACAATACGTGTACTGCGATATCTTAACTTATTTTAAAACATTAAGCAAAAGATTTCGAGGTATAAAATAATTTTAAGTTATAGATCTTTATCTTAAACATTTTAATGAAATATCACTCAAATCTGTTTTGTTCGCCTAATGGTTTTTATTTTTAAAGAAATTAACAAAAGGATATTATCGTTTCTTTAAATGAATGAGTAAATAGAATAATTCTAAGAAATACTCCTTTGCATACACACATACATATATCTCATATGTACTTATTTACAAATATAGAAATAAAAAAAAATTTTTCTTTTCCTAATTTTTTTTTACAGGATATTGGCCATTTGGTTTTGTTTGGTGTAACATTTATGTGACGTGTGATGTATTAGCATGTTCCTCTAGTATTTTGCATATGTGTTTCATAAGTCTTGGACGTTATTTAGGAATACGAAATCCATTAGGATCAAGGCATAGATCAACAAAACGTTTAGCTGGCATTAAAATAGCAATTGTATGGGTAATGGCTATGATTGTATCAAGTTCTATTACTGTTCTAGGTAAATATGGATACTCGTACATACATATATATATATATATATATATATATAATTTGATTAAATAAATAAAATTTCGAAAAGATAATTATCATCACTTGTGTTAAAAGGATAAAATAGTCAAAGAAAACATTTGTTATTGAAAAAAAACAGTATCAAAAGCAATTCAATTTTTTTTCTCATTTCATGTGTAGCAATCAATGAAATAAAAGTGATTAAATTACTAAATGATTTTTACTAAAATGAATTCTTTTATGAAGAATTAATGAAAAAAGTAAGGATGTTGGAGGACAGTAACATTAAGGAGTTTTTTTTTGTTTTTCATAATACTTAAATTTACCTTAAATCTTTATATTCGATTACTACTTAAATAATATTATGAAAGGGGTCATTACAAAAGTGTTATACTGGAATTAGTACTCTTAAAGTTTCTGTAAGATACTTATAATATAACTCGAGTGTCCCGAAGCGGTATAATACAATGTAGTTTTGTAAATTATAAGCAATTCCAACAGGGTATTTTGAGTGATGAATTATTGAATTGCCTAGAGTGACAAAATTGAGATTGACAATCTATTTGGTAAATACTGTTTCCTCTATTCTTCTTCAACTAAAACTGATGGGTATTACCCCAAAAATTATTTATTAAATATTGGTCTAATAAGTAACCAATATTTTTATAAAAATGACAACACCGGAACGGCAATATCAACAGTAGAATATTTTGCATATAATGTCACACGCACTTGGAAGCAGATATCAAATAATGTCAAAAAGTAGGAATTAAGGCCATTTTACCGTCGGCGGCAAAATTCGTGGCGGAAATTCGTTTTGGGCAGTCTCGTCTAAATATGTATATTCCAGTTGAATTCAGACATTTCGCCCCCCAAAAATCGCTTTTGTCTTCTTTTTAAACTTAGGCTAAATAATTCAAAATTTTTTGCAATATATTAAAAAGAATATTTTGCTTGGAGCTCGCTAAATTTGTTGAATTCTCTCGCACCAGTGTTTTCAGAGGGATTCTCGGGTGGCACTAGTGATTTTTTTAATAAATAAAATTTTAAAATAATTTTTGAGGTGCACAGTTTTCAAGATCATCTTTTGAACTAGTTAAACGTTTTAGATAAAATTAAAATCTTGACAAATATTCACTTTAATCTTTTTATTTAAAGAATATTATTTTGTGAAGGGTTTCAGAACAAAACTTTGAGTATATTATTAGTCGGCTATTTCAAAAATTTTAAAATTATTCCAAAAATTCTAGCATAATATAAGTTTCTTTTCTAATTTAAAATATTTTTAATTTAATTCTACTTTAAAGTGTATACGGTCAAAGGCAAGTAAGGGTTAAAATATTTTTTCTAATTAAAATTTTTTCTCATAAACACTCCTGTTTTTTTCTTTATAAGTATAATAAAGTATGGCGTAAAACTTCATTTTTTTTATCTATTTGAAATACAGAAAATAAATTTAAATTTTAAAGAGACATGCATTTAAAAAATTTTATTTTTAATTAAATTATGCAATTAAGAGACAAATTTAAAGAGTTTTAAAAATTTATTTTCTTAAAAGGTATCTGGTCAATCCCATTTGAAAAAACCTTCCCTTTTTATAAAAACAAGTTCATTTCTGCCATTTTAACTTTAAGAAAGAAATTAATTTTTTATAGATTAGAAAAGCATTCTCGTTTCTCCATTAAAATTTATTTGTATAAGTGATCAGTAACAAGTCAAAATTATTAACAAACAAACTAAGTAAACTTTATTTAAATAAGTATCTAGTAAATATTTTAATGAAATAAGAAAAGGAAAAAAATAATTTCATTTATTTTTTCAATTTTAAATTCAAAAGAGTTTGAAAAATCTTATAATTTTTTCATATCGTTTGCTTGCATAATAATTCAAAGTTTTCCTTTATAAAAACATTATTAAAAGTGATTTACTGACAGCAGGAGATCAAAAACTACTTTTCTATTGATTGAATAAAAATAATGAAAGAACTGAAATTGCTTCATCACACTTCATCCTATACATATATAAGATTCATCTAGAATTCTAGAATACGTAATATAAATTCTAGAAACGTATATAAAGAAAAAGGAAAGAAAATTGTAACAATTTCGTTTTCCTTGATGAAAATCTCTTTGAGTTGTTTATATTTTCTTTTTCCAATATGAAAACTTTAATTCTTTGTCCTCTATATACTCGTATAGTGTTTCTTTTGTAATAGTTTTTCCAAAGAAATCGTAAAGAGGGCAAATTGTATATTGGAAATTTTAAAAATATGTCATTACTTCAGCATTTTTAATATTTGTCATTTTATATTTAAAAAAAAAATAAGGATAATGTCAGAGAAATTTTGTAATTTTAGTTTTGAATTGATCAAAGACTCAGCAACATTTATTGAACTATTTATATTTTTTTTTGATAATATGTTGATTTTTTTAATTTTAGGGATAATTAATCAATCAAATATAATGCCAGAGCCAAATATATGCGCTATTAATAATCGAGCGTTTTTTGTATTTGGATCACTTGTTGCATTTTATATTCCAATGATATTAATGGTTGTCACATATGCTTTAACAATACAATTACTTAAAAAGAAGGCAAGATTTGCAGCAGATCATCCAGAAAGTGAACTTTTCAGAAGGTAAAGATAATATGAAAAAAATACATTAACAGAAATTAATTTTCAGTTCTTAGTAGACAACTTGTTAGACTTCGAGTAGAATAATTTCAAATTTTTCATTAAAATTATTTTAAAAATTTCAAATTTATTTCATAAAATTTAAAAAAGTTTTTAATTAATTGGATTAATTTGTATAATTTTTTTTTTCGCTTTTTTATATTAAAAAATATTTTTTTATAGATTAGGCGGTAGATTCGCTATAAAACCACAACATCATCATAATTCCAATAATATAAATAAATTGAATAGAGAATCATCTAGTCGTAGTTCAAAATATGATCCAGAACAACGTGTTTCATTGAAACAATCACTATCGGTTCAACAACTTAAGCGTAATAATAATGAAGGATTTAATAATGAAAATAATTCTATTATAAGTGGTAGTGGTGGTAGTAGTACAGGCGGTGTTGGCACTAGCAGAATCAATAAAGCATCTAATTGTAATCGAACAAGTTTTACAAATTCAATTTTACGTAATAATTCAACAAAATCAGACCAAAAAATTTCACAATCTCAATCACAACAGCCATTACTTTATAGAACACAAGGAAATAGTTCAGGATGTTTATCAAATTCAACCGACAGGTAAATTTATATTTTTATTTTATTATTATAATTATTCATCAGTATTTGAATAAATATTAGCGATTGCTGTTTTTACGAGACTTTCATACCATTGTATATTTGTAAAAGTTGTAACAAAATCAGAATTACATTCATCTCCAGCAAAATTTGTAGATGTTATGCCACTACTTACAATACCCCATAAATGGTAATAAGATATACCATTAATATCTTCAGATACAATAAAACCGCCACCACTATCTCCTCTACAAACATTCTGTCCTTCACTTGTTTCAACACAAAATTTATCATTGGCAATTCTATCATTTCGTGTAATTTTTTTCCGTATACAATTTGGGCCATCAATTGAAAGCAATGTAACAGATCGCAAGTCAGGACTTAATTTTCCTGTTTCAGTTACACCCCAACCTGCCACTATTCCTAATTTATTACTTTCAACAGTTTTCTCGTTATTACTTCTCCAAGTTAAACATGCTGGCCTAATATGATTTCTATATTCAATATGATCTGTTAATGTTAAAACAGCAACATCACTTATAAAATCATAGTCTCCACCACGAAATCTAAAATGAGAGAAATATTTATTCCCAATAAAATCAATTTAGTAAAAAAAAAATTAATTTACTGAAGAGGAATATCTATTTTTGAAATATTGCTATATTGAACAGTTTGTGTTTCATTGGTTGCATAATAATCTTGATAAAATTTCCCTACTGCAATTGCGTAATTTGATACATCGAATAAACTGGAAGTTTTAGAATTCCAAAAACAGTGTGCTGCACTTATTACAATTCTGGATTCAATTAGAGTACCACCGCAAATAAATTTGTATTTTACATCACCAATCTTAGAATAAATCGCAACTTGCCATGGTACTTTTGTAACTTCTGTTATATCACTCATTATACTAAATGGTATTTTAGTATCAATTGTACCACAAATCTGTTCACACTTAAATGGAGTGTGGCTCCAGTTACCATCACTGTCACAATACAAATCTTCATGAACATTTCGTGTGTGTGGTTTTTCATACATAACAGCACAACTTATTTTTGCAATAGTTCCGGATTCAACTGGTCTGCTGCAGTCAACACCTTCGCCATTATTAGTACACAAAACATGAATTGTATGTCCTGTAATTGGAGCACATAATCCTATAAAATATTTAAAATAAAAAAAAATAAAAAATAAATTAAAATATATTTCTATCAAAAATAAAAAACAAAAAGGCTTTCATACTGAAAATTAAATTAAAAATTACTTATGCATTCCGGATGAGGATTTATCCAATTAAAACCATCACAAAAATTTGTATTGAATTTTCCTTTTAAAAATGTACCCTTTGGGCAAGAATATTTAACAAATGTTGCTATGGGAGCTTTTAATTGTGAATTCAATATATTACCATTTAAATCGTCTATCAGAGTTAACATACTATCATTTGGTACATGGCATCCATTAATTTTTGAATTTTCGGTTGGAATTATACTTGTAGTTTGTTGTATTTCTAATGTATTTGTGGTTTTCAATGTATTTGCCGTTGTAGTTTCAATATTAAATCCAATACAATTTATTTCATCTGATCCATCAGCACAATCTTCTATATGATTACATTTTAAAATGCGAGCGATACAAGCGCCATAATTGCATCGAAAAGAAAATGGTGGACAACGAACTCTACCACATTGTTCAATTGTTTCATCAGAACTATCATTACAATCAATTTTTCCATCACACAATTTTTCAGTGGAAATGCATTGAAGATTTTTACATTCGAATTCAGATTTTCTTGAATAATAAAATTTACAAAATTATTCCAAAAAAATTAAATTTAAATAAATTAATAGAAAAAAAAAACCTACAGACATTCGGCATTCCTTGTAACTGATCCGCATATCGTTGTCGCTTCATCTGAACCATCATGACAATCTTTTACACCATTACATTTTAAGTTTTTAGAAATGCAAGCACCATATAGACATTGAAATGTGAATTTTGGACATTTAATACCGGTACAAGTTGATAACTCTTCATCGAAACCATTTTCGCAATCAATTATCCCATCACATAACTGGTCTAAGTTTATACATTGGTCATTTTGACAACTAATATGACTAAGATCACATCTTTCGAATTGTTCTAAAATTTTGTTTATACATACACATTAATACTTTTTTGTTTTTTTGTTTTTACTAAAGACTTGTTTTGAAATTTATTATTGCCATTACCTGTGACGTATGGCATAAAAAATAAAATAAGTAAGAAATTATTAAGTACTTTCATTATATTTCAAACTAATCGGGTAATTTATTCAGAGTAGAATTCCAGCAGAGCTCAGTTTTGATAATTTTTAAGTAGGGCGACGAATTCGCTTCAATAGTTTTTTGTTATCAGTTGATCTTCTATGGCAATATTTGACTCAAAATTATCATCTTTATTAAATAAATGTATTGGGTAATTTTTTTTTATTATCAAATGAAACTATTAAAAAAATTCGGATAGATTTATAGAACTGTTTGGTATTTCCAGCGAAATTATTAGTTTAATTAATTTTTTTCTTCTATTTTCTAATTAAAATTCTAGAGCCAATAATATTGGAATTTTTGAATTGAAATATCACGTGTTATCGTTTTATTATTTAGACTAACAGACTTATACTAACACTAAGTTCAAAACAAAATTATTGTTGTAGTTCAATGGTTAATCAATTTAAGCTTTTTAAAAACAAAACAAAACCTTTTTCTGGTTTGTTTTTAAACAAAAAGTTAAGCTTAGTGTGTTACGCTCTTTTAAAAGACTCTGTTTTGTTAAAGGTCAAAATGTGAAAGAATGATTCACGAATTAGCTTAAGTACTTTTGTTTTAAAATAGATTTCTTATGAGTTCATTTAAAAATAATTTCGAAAAGCTTCAAAATTTGTAGTAAAGCTTTCAAAATTTAAAACTCTCTTTGATTACAGGTTTTTATACTTACCTCTCAGATTCAGGCACTATTTATATAAAATTTCGCTTTTAGCGAAATACATATTGTAAATTTTTGATTGTGTGTTCGCTGAGAAATTTATTGAATCTTTAAATAAGGTACGTATTTTAGTTGAAAACAAATCGGTTTTTTGAATAAACAGGATCAGTTAAATGACCCCCTATAAACAAAAGTTTAAATATTTTCCTAAGCAAAAATTGTGCAAATATTGTAATCTCTATAGAAAGAGAGACTAAATAGCTTTACATAAATCCTCTTCCAGGATTAGCCTCTCTATCCGCAGGTGAGAGTATGACAGAAATTTATTTTTGACATCATTTATTTCCAAGGGAAATCATGAAATTTTTCTCTAATATTCGGTAACTTTAATTGTATTTCACTGACCTATTAATATTTCGGGGTTTTAAAAGCGACCTCCTGTGGGATTTTCAAAAACGGGCTCTATTGGGCAAAATTCGCATGGAAATATTACTCTTGAATCAAAAGTATATTATTTTCCATGAAATCCCTTGTAAAAGTTTTCTATATTAATATATAGAATTTAAAATTTACGTAAACTATTAAAATTAATACCATTGAAACCAATGGCCCCTCTGAATTAGAGGATATTTTCAGTAAAGAATTTTTCTAGGTAGCAGTAATCAGTTTTTTCTTTTGCTTTTCTCAGCCTTTTGAATACATTTTTAATTTTAAAGGGAAACAAACAGTTAAAGTTTTTTTTATTACGAAAATTCTCAACTTATTTTAATTCTCTTACCACCTGAACTTAATAAAAATTTGTGGTTGAATTTTCAATTTGCTTTCGTAGGAGACATGACATACATTAGCCTTCTTTTATATTATTAAAACTACTTTGTGTTTTTAAGGGCTTTGTACAATAAACAAGTGAGAGTAAACTAAATAAATTTTAATAATCTTACGAGTATCTACCTTTATTGAATAATATTATAATTTTTATATTTGTTTATGAAAAATTTTAATAAAAATAAAAATTGTTTCGTAAAAGTTTTTTGGTAGAATTTCCATTTTAAAATTTTTGTACTATTGCACGTGTTAGTTATTATAGTAAATTTTTAATTGGGATATTTTGGGGAGATTAGATCCTAAATATCAAATTGCCTTTTTAACTATTACGATCACAGATATTGGTAAAACTAGTTTTTTATTGTACAAATTAAACTGCATGGGATAACGTCACTGCGATTTTTACAACGTAAGGTGATGTACTCTTAAAAACATTGGGCTGCAATAAAATAATGTACTTCATACTAATTGTTAAAAAGTTGAAATTTTAAATTGACTTGGAGTATTCTCGTATGCAACTCTTATTTCGATTAAGTTTAATAATTAAATAATTGATTTTCTCTATTCATTTTCCAATATTTTTTTTTTCAGATCTTCAGCAAGAAGAAGTAGTATACAACAGCATGTAAGTTATTCTAATGGAGCAAGAAGTCCGACAATAGCTGCAGAAACTTGTGAACAAGGAACTCAAACTCCTGAATCAATTGAAAGGGAAACAAGAAAATGTAAATTAAAAGCATTACGTTTCTCTTTCAATAATGTTACACCGCCAGCATTGAACCTTAATTTGAGGTTAGTAAATTAAATTTTTTATTTTATTTTCCAATACTTTGCTTTTGTAACGACACTGAGTGGGTTCACATCTGTACTATTTGTTTTTTTTTTAATTTTTTTTTTATCTTTGTTTTGTTGTTCTTGTATTCAATTGTTTTGAATCTAAGTGCAACTAAAATTGCAAGTTTTGTAAGTTTTTAAATTTTTATCGGGCAAAAAAGATTTTAATGTTACAATTTTTTAGAGCAGTCGTGAAAATTCAGTAATTCGAAAGAATTAGATATTAAATTCGAATCTTAGATATCAAAGTCGAAAAGCTCAAAACTTATTAAAATTGAAATTGAAGTTTCGCCACTAAACTGACTAAGTATTATGGGTAAAATCGCGCTAATAATAATCTCTGCTTCCGTAAGAATTTTTGGGCTTCTTTCAGTTATTTTGATCCATCAGTATGGTACCGGTACAATGTGATAAAAATGGTTTCCGGCAATTGTTCCTTATATGAAGCACGTATGATAAATTTTGTTTAAAAGGGTGGGCAAGCTGCATTATTTTAATTGGACACGCAAATTGCTTACCTCAATTTAGTAAATATATTTTGCAAAATTACCAAGTTCGATTCGCATCAAGAAAGCATACTATATAAATTTCAATTGGTATTTTCTAAGTTGGAAAAAAAAAGAAACAGTAATTGGGAAAAAAAGGACAATATTGAAAGAAAACCTTACAATAACCTTGATTAAAATGTCAAAGAAGAAAATTATGATAATAAAATTAGAAAACGGTAAATATTTTCTATTTTTTTTTTTTTTTTTTCATTTTAATATCTTTTGCATTCCTTTTTTCGACCATCATTTTTCCAAACAAAAAAATAAAAATTGAAAAAAAAAGTGCTTATTAGTTTCACTCTGTCCGGCCGTTCGTCCATTCGTTGACATGTTTACAAATTTTCTGTTTATTCCCTAGACGATAAGATGTAGGAGCCCGAAATTTTAACAACTTTCAGATATTAATAAATAGTTTAGCTCCACTCCCTCTAAATCGCTTCTCGAAATTTGTAAAATTTTAATTTTAAGCACCTTATATTTCCGGAACTGCAGGGTTTTCCAAATCTTTTTAAATCCAAACGGCTAACGCTTCTATTTCTTTTTTTTACCTCATCCTAAATATATGCAATTTTTTAAATAATATGATGTGAGAATTGAAGTAATCTGAATAATGCAGTTAATTTGTTTTTAAGAGCAATATTTTCGTTCTTTTAAGAGAAATGTGCAAATTTACAAAATATTTGTTAGATCCAACTTTATAATTAATAAATTTTTCTTCAATGACTTTAATTTTACTATAATTTTTCTTATTGTTATATAGATTTTTAACAGCAAAAAATAAACGTAACAGTTTGTCAGCGAATGCAGTTGCAACAGAACAAAAAGCTACAAAAGTTCTTGGATTAGTTTTTTTTACATTCGTTTTATGTTGGTCACCATTTTTCATATTAAATATAACATTTGCAGCTTGCACCGATTGTCATGTACCGGAGCATGTTGTTGACACATGCTTATGGTTGGGATATTTGTCATCTACAATCAATCCAATTATATATACGATATTTAATAAAACATTTCGTGCAGCATTTATACGTTTACTTAAATGTAATTGCGAAAGGTAAGATTTAATTATTGCAATGTTGGTACATTTTTTTTTTTTAAAGTTCATGTTGTGTATAACAGTATGTATGTATTTATGTAGAACAGAATACAATTTAATGAAATTGTAGATTTGTTCTTTGAATTATTTTTTTTTTTTTGATGCATATAATTGGAAATAAAATGCAATGACAAACATTAATTAAAATAGGTAAATTGTGGTGAAGAAAAAAGTAAAACAATTATTTAATTAAGTACACTTATAACAATTATATACTTGTGTGCATATATTATACTTAAGGACATGCTTCAGGATGTAAATCGAAAATTAAATGTTTGTGTTACAAGTTGACAATAATAATAAGATTTAACAATGATTATGGAAACCAGAGACACTGTTGTTTCTTGGACTTCTTTGCAGATTTTCAATGATTTATATCGATTTTTATTTGTGCTTATTTATTGATAGTAGCGCCTGACTCTTTACCGTATAGAAAATACATACTTCAATGCCAGTAGTACTATAAGTAGCATAAAATTAGACATCCAAAATGTGCTTTTCCAAATTTTAAAATTTAATTTTTTTATAATTATTTTACAAATTCCAGCCCTGTTTTACTTAAAAAATCATAAATCAGAATAGCGTGATGCATTTGTATTTTAAAATTGTGCTTATTAAAATATTTTCATTCTTTTTTTTTTATTTTTAGATCCGGCCGTCCAGCTAGATATCGTTCGGTAACAGAATCTCGTGGTGCATTAAGTTTATGTGCACCATCAGCTCTTCCATTAGCAATTTCATTACAAGGAGCTCCATTAATGACACCATCAACAGCAAATGCAACACCAATGAGTGAATTTCGTGGATCTTATACTATTACTGATGAAGAATGTTGATGATATCACACAAATATTATTAAGAACAAAAAAATAATGTCCAATATTATGTATAAACAAATTTTATGGCAACTAAAATTAATTTTGTGTAATTTTAAAATATTATAGTACGAAGAAATGTAGCAAAAATGAAAGGTAGAAAATGTAATCTTATTACAGTAGCATGTAAAGCATATACTAACTTGTAATTCTATAATAGAAAATCTTAAGGGAGCACATGGTTTCTCCAATTTTTTATAAATAGAATTCAATAAATTTGTTTTATAACATTTGAAAATTGAATAAGAACAGGTTATTAAGGTTTCGAAATCCAAAATTTATAAAACAAAATAGCTATGCCATAAATTTTCGAATACAAAAAAATTGTCACAATATTTTTTAATATTAAGAAGTAGAAGAAGAAGAAAGAAAATGCTTATACATTTGAAAAAATTTTCAAATTACCTTCCATTGCAATTTAAAATTTAAATAAAAGGTAATAAATTTTTGTAGCAAACATTTTTCCATTTTATGATTTTATTGTAATATATGCAAGAGCACACAATATGTAAATATGCAGAAAAAAAAAACAAGCAAACAAAAATCAGAACAAAAAATTTAAAGGATAAATCTCTAATATTTCTTAACTTTATTTTAGTTCCTCACATTTATGGGATGGATTTTGAGATTATAACGTTCTTTTGGAAAAATAGTAAGGATAACACATTCAGGATGCTTTTGTATAACTAAACTATACTTTTCATTTACAAAAATTTAAAAATTTAATGTATTCATCACTACGCACTTCTATAATTCTATATAATTTGAATTTTCAAAACATGCCATTACGTTTTACATGAAATTCTTTTTGAAAATACTTATAGGACTCAAATTTAATTGTTCAACTCAATTTTTAGTTTTACAATAATTGTTTGATTGCTTATTTGTATTCAATAGGCTTATATTCAATCAAGCATACATGCAACTGTATGATAGCTCAAAACTAAGAAATCAAACAGTTTTAGTGGATAATAGAATTAAGTAGTAATTGCACACAAAAAATTGCATGTCTGAATGAAGCCCTAAAAACAATTAAAAAAATAATTGTTTAATTAGCACTGAAAAACATAATTTTCGAGAAAATTATAAATTTTCTCCCTAATGAATTGGAGTTTCGCATTAAAATTCGCATTACAATCAAATTTCACCAGAAACAGACTAACTACTAACATCTAACAGGCCAAATTTATTATGTATTAACATGTTTTCGGGCGCAGTAAAACATAACAATGTGGGGCCATTTCATTTTCTCTTTAAATTTTTTTAAATTATTTTACCTGTACGACAGAATTATGGCTACTGTCTTATTTGGTAATTGTATAGTCGAATTCTTATGGCTACTGTCTTGCTTTTTTCGTAATTGAAATCGAAAGACGTCTTTTATAATGCCATGTCAATTTCTATTTAGTAGAATTTATGAATTGTAGATGAAAAAGAATAAGAGTATATAAATAAGGCGTTTCAAAAATTTTCCGCATAATATTTTAAGAATTTGTTGGAAAACACAAAAAAAAAAAAATAAAATAAAAATGTTTGCTGCAAGTAATCAAAAACGATAAGTAGAAATGTGCATGTGTTGTATGCTTTACATGAATTCTTCTCTCACGTATACCTAGTAGTAGTTATGTACCCTGTGTAAGTATTTATTTTCTTTGGAAAATGCAATATTTCAACCATTTATTATGCAATTCACATTATGTTTGTATATATGTGACTTTATTTTCGTTACCTTTGTTTAACATTCAATTCAATTTTTCTTTATGGTAAAATTTTTTCTGAGAAAAAAAAAGATTTTATTATTCCATTTGAATTTCGTATAACTTGTAAATTTATTTTTTTTTTTTTGTTAGAGAAAAAAATATTTTTTTAATAGAAAAGTTTTTAAAAAACTTTAAAGTTTTGACATTATTTGCGTTTAAGATTGAAATTTTACTTCCCCCTACATTAAAGAATAAGAAATTTTTTTAAATGTTTGTTTTTTGGTGGAAGAGATTTTAGTTGACTATAGAATTTTGTTAGATGTTCTGATTAAAATGGAATTTATCAATCTAATTTTATTTATTGAATAAATTTGAATTTAAAAACTGGGGATTTATTTATGTCGTGAGCAAATAATGTTAATTAAATTCTTGCCAAATTAAAAGTACAATTATATTTGCAGTTTGTTAAACATATAAAGAATTAGAATATGAGTTACAATATTGGAAAATACGATATTTCGTGTCATAACCAATTTTAATTAAGCAATCATCTAAATAAAGTACTATGGAAAGACTATGGAAAGGATATCTTAGAATCTTCTTAGAAATAATTAGGAAAGAGGAACTCAAAACTCTTTTTTCTCAAAATTTTCAAATTGCTTATATTCAAAAAATTGCATTTTTCATAAAAATAATAGATTTTCGAAAAATTTCCATCAAATTTTATCAGTTTTCTTCAAATATTAGAAAATTCCTTGAAACAGCCAATAATATTATCTTGAAAAAAAGTTGCCGATCTTACTATAGGAAAGGACAATATTCTTAATTTAATAGACAATTAAATATTAGGCTATAATCATATAGTTAATTATGTAATATTTAAATTTTAAACTTAATTAATATAGGCATATAATTTTAAAATTCTAGAACACTTGTATTATAATTAATTTTAATTAAAAAAATTTTTGTAAATTATATTGTAAATATTTTTAATTAATTATTAATATTGTAAATTAATAATTTAATAATAATAATTATTCTAATTAATTAAATAAAAACAAAAACCAAAAAAAAATTATTTATTAAAAATATTGAAATATATTGTAAATAAATAGTAAAAATACCAACTCTAAAATTAAAATATAAAAATCAAATTAGTAAATAAATTAATTAAATTATAATTAAAAAAATAAAAGAACAATTATTATTTATTAAGAATTAAATTTTTAAATTTTAAGATTAAATTTAAAATTAAGATTAGCAAAGAAAACTATTTATTATAAATTTTAAAATATATTTTTGTGTTAAATTATTTAAAATAATATTGTTATGACTATCATTGATATTAAAACTATATATTTATTAAAATTATTTTAATTCTGATTTGATTATGATTTGTAATTATTAATTAAGAAGAGGGGGCGGAAGGAGGGAACATATGATATTGCGATGTATCGAGCAAGTTATTCGTACTTGTAACAGAATTTGTTCTTTTTAATTTCATATTAATTATTAATTAATTAAAAATTTAGGTACTTTTGTTTTAGAAAAATTTTGAGCTCTACACAATTTTACCTTTATCTGTATTACAGAATTATGAGATTATATTTTCATGTTTATTCTCTTTTTATTATCCCGATCATGGATATCTCATATTATAGCCATAGGTAATTACAGTAGTCTAAAGCAAGGATTAAGGAAGGATAAAGCAAGTTCTATTAATAAGATCTCCAGTTGAGTTTCACATTCCAAACTACCATAAAATTTTTAAATGCAGAATAGCTCATATTTATTTCTATATATTAAGTTTTAATATATTTGGAAATTGGGTTTTAGTAACTGGTCAACTTTTTCAACTTTTCAGTTGGTGGTACGTAGGTAGGTGGTAGGTAGGTAGGTGGTAGATGACAATATACATGCCGTTTATCTGTTCATATAGTATAGAATTGTCGTAATACGTCTGCCGTTGTCCATTTTTGAAAATGTAGAATAAAGTTCCGTTAATACATAAAACATAACTAGAGCATGTTGATTAATATTCTTTAAAGTAGAGCTGTCGATACAAAACATTGAGTAATAATTTAATAGTACCTAAATGTGATTTAATAGTATTATCCAACATAATTGCTAGTTTTGTTTCAAATATGTCTTAGTACTTGCTGGATTGTTAGAGTATGCAAGAATTATAATATTGTATAAAAATTTAATGTAAATTCTTAATTGACTTAAAATGAAATATGATAAAATTTCTAATAAAATTAAGAGGAAAATTTATCATATCCTGTTCTATTCCTTGAAACTCAGCCTACCACTATCCAAAGTCTTCCAAAAGTTATGTACATAAATAATTTTGTTTTGAAATTTCACAGTTATATAATTATTCTATTGATGCAAAATTTCCAGAATTTTGGAAATTAAATTAAATTTATTCTTTTTTACACCATAATTCGGTTTTTCAATGATTTTACTATTAATTTTATAAATTATTTCATTCCTGCTTTGATTTTTATTTCGTTTCCTACTAAGTATTATTCGAAATTTAAAAAAAACGGTATAACTTTTCAATATAAAATTTTAATAAGCCTTAACAACCCTAGAATAAAATTATAATATTTAGTCGCTATACTCGTATATGATCACATATACGTACGTACATACAAATATATCAAAAAGCTTGAATAACATAATTTCTCAAAATGTATTTTAGAAATGCTCCCAAGTTTTGTATAAAAATATAACGAATCCCGGCTAAAAGCACACTCCTATGCTTTTAGTAATTGAAATTAAAAAGCTCAAAGAAAATATAATTTTTGAATTTTAGTATATATAAGGTTTGTGTATATAATTTTTATGAGTCATAATACAAAAGGAAATTTCTTTATCTAAGACTTGTACCTTATTTATGATTAAAAATAATTTTTTTTTTTCTAAAAAATCATGAATTAAAAAAGTTTGTCGTGTTAGAATAAAAAATTTTACAGTTAATTTTCATAAAATCTGATATACGAGTAGTATGTATAACAAAGTAATAAGTTTTGAAAATTTTCAGGACAAATTTATTATTGAGAAATTATTTTTGATAATCCCCATTGCTTTTCACATAAAAGTTGTAATCTCAATGTAGTTTCAAGTGTAGGTAGGTATAGTAAAGTAGAAAACATGTGTTAATTTAGAAAGGAACTAGTGTATTTTAAAAGATTTTTTATATTTTCATATATATTTAATATTAAATTTAATATTTTGTAGAAACGAGGCGGCGGCAGGTAGTAAAATTGCTGTTTCAAAACAATTATTTATCACCGACGGGGAGAGCAAATGGTCTTTCTTATAATACTTGTATCTTGAAATCACAGGGCGTATTTCTATTCGATCAAATTAGAATTCGCACAGTTGACTAATTAAGACTATATATGCTTTCTACAATTGGTAATATAAGCATAGGTGCCACAGTACAAGCCCATATTTTTGATACGTTATGTGTACAGTGATATATGTACAATAGACTTTGCTTATTCCTAATATACCAGTAGGATCTTACCTTATGTAATATATATTTTTAGTGTATTATATATCTAAGATTGAATATTTATTAAAATAATTTGTTTTGATTTGTTTTTGTTTGTTAAAATGTACACATTTTACTTCCACCATGTGGTATTACTATATTAAATGAGAAACTATATTTTGAAAAATTTTGAGAACCAAAGCGATTTCGTTATCATATGAAGAAACATTTTTGGTGTTGTTTGAATTTGAGAAATTTGAATAAGTTTGAAATTAATTTGAAATTAAGAACTTGAAAATGTGTTTTTTTACCTGTTCAGGTTTAACTTGTTCGGAAAGTTTTAATGTATGTGTTGAATTCCCAATGTGCACGTCATTACCCATCATTACTCACTTTGACACAAATATTTTCTTTTAAAATAATTGACACAATTTTGTTTTAAAATCATTTTATTATTTTATATGAAGTATATTAAAATTGTCTTGGATCTTCAATTAAACAATTTATTCCTTCATATAATAAATTTCTGCTTTTTTTTAAATTACCCATAAATTACCCATATATATATATATATAAAATTTAGATCTACGGCGAAATTTAATTAAGATATTAAAAAAAAAAAATTTTTTTTTTTACTTTGACATACATGAAAGAGAAAAAATAAAATATCTTTTTCTTTTTCTTTTCTATTTCCTCGGAAACACCGACACAAGACGTGTCTATTTTAATAGTATCAACTTTTGAACTTTTTTAGTCTTCTTATGCTATACACATAGTTTGTCCTCCATTTTTTTTTATTTTTTATATGCAAAGCTGACAAATACTTTCACATTTTAAGAGTAATTTAATGTCAAGCAAATACAGAAGGACTTCATTAGCGTTATTACAAGAGTAATAAAGTTAGGAACAGGATCGGATTGTTTTTTTCTTCTTCTTCCATTTTGTATAATGTTTGCCCCTTTTTTCTTCTGTTTCTATTATTTTCCCAAAGAAAATTGTATTTAAAATGAAATTTCGCAATATTTTAGCGTAATTAAGTTGTGAGAGAAAAAAAAAAGGAACAAAAATGTTTCTTGTTTTATTTTTTGTCTTTGTGATGAAAATGTAATGGAAAAACGAATAGAATTTTGACTAAAATGACATGAATTAAAAATAGCACATTTTTTTTCTTAGGAAGCTATAAGTTTTTAAGTATCTAAATTTAAATAGAAAAATATGTCTTCTATATTCTTGAAATTCTTGAAAATTAAAATCGTTTGACATTTATAATGCATAATTGCCGGTTTCATAACAATTCGGACTGTTTCTAATGAAGGTAAAAGGGAAATATCCGGCAGCACCACAACTGGTTTAAGTGGCCTAAGAACACTCTTCGGCGAGCCGTGCAACCTAACCTAATCTATAATGCAATTACAAGGCACGGATAAGAAAAAAATTTCTTCATTTTAGTGAAATTAATTTCCTAATTCGCTGAATTTTCTCAAAGGGCTTTAACTGCACTTTTCATTCATTTTTGCACTTTATAATTTAATACAACCGGCAATGGTCAGTTAACGTGTGTAACATTTTATTTTATTAAAATAATACTGGCCCAAAAAAAGCAATGATAAAAAAGGAGTCAATACTTGACACTTGAAATCGAACCAGTGAAATTTTTATAATTCACACAAAAATTACAATCCCTTGGCAATTCTCCAAATACAATTATAATCTGATCTAGAGTCTAGATTCCGGAGTGACTGACAGCATATCAAAATATTAATAAAAAATTTCAAATTTTGTATTTTAAAAAAAACAATCCACATTTTCAATTATCCTTTTTAAAAAGTAAGAAAAAAAAAATAAAAAAAAATTTCATCTGTCCTTCTCCTTTTTATGTGATTTAGAAAAGTGTATAAAACAAGTATAATTGCAATATTGTTTCTTATATACACAGTTAAAATGATAGCACCTATGTCTATACCCATACTATGCATACCTTTAGAATTTGATGCTATGATTACCCTTTTAGAAAATGAAATAAGTGAAAATTAAAATTTAAGTGGTTGTATTTCAAAGAAAAAAAAAAATAAATAAAATAAAATGTTCATTCTGTTG